ACAATGGTTAAAAAAATGTTGTGTAGTAAAGAATATTAAACAGGCCATTTGTTTTTCTCTAGTGTTTAATTAAATAAACTCCTTTTTTGATTAATTATAATGACAGTGAAGCAATGTAGATATAATAGTTTAAAAAAATTTGATGTGGAGTTTCTTTATTTATACTTACATGTAACCAAAAAGAATTTTTACAAAAAAATATTTTTTAGACAATTTTCAACAAATTTGTTAACAAGTTTCAAATATTCATCAGAAAAAAATCTGTAATGATTCACATGAGTAGATGTCTCCCAACATTGGSCTACAACATRAACAAAAAAAGATCTTCTAGCTTTGATGAAATCATCTATRTCGGCATATGGTGCAAAACGGTCAGCCTTGGAGTAAAGGAAAAGCTGATCACACATCAAAGGTGATTGTTTCATGCATCTCATGAAACGCTGAACGTCTGGGTTAATTTGAACAACCAAWGGWACAAACACCCCTAAACCATACCAAAAAAAACTTTTYGCAACTGGATTAGAAATGTTTTCTGTAATGCTCTGTTGAACTATTTTTAAAAAAATGTTGTTGTCTGGGCTGATGGGACAGCTGTCAAATATTGATCCAACAACATTGAAAAAAAAATAATATTCACTCTCCGGCATAGTCAATGATTCCATTATATGAAAAAATACTGCAAAAAAACCGTTACTAAACGAATAAAGAAAAATTGGTCTTTCTTTACCATTCATCTCATTCAAAAAAATCAAAATGTTGTGTCCGRTTTGTTTTACTTTCGTGTCGGACCTGAAAAAAGTGTAAAAAAAATGAGCTGTGACACTAAYAGTTCCATAGTTTTTCTTTGTGAAAATGTCGCTGTATTTAGTAAGGTGTTTATCTTTTGAACCATTCCATCCGAGAAGAACAACGACAGGTTCCTTGTCTATTTTACTGCTGTCTGTTTCGGTGACTTTAGCGCCATATTTCTTGTACCTCAAATACCAAAAAAACTTGACGTATGAACACACGAAACACGTTGAAAGACATTCGTCTTACAAAGTTGCCTCAAAGCGCAGTTCATGAACATATTACAAAGCAAAAAAACACGAAAATGCTTATGAGTAAATCACCCTCATCTTTCCCGACTTTGTAAGTCAGGCGTTCCTCGAGTGAGATTCCAGTAGCTAAAAAAATACATAGCACAGGAAGACCAAAGATAACAAAGTTCCTCTTTGAACTAGGTAAAGAAAAAAACTGTTTTGAGCTTTACGCAGCTTTACCTCGAAAGCATGTAACATATTCTTTAAAAAAAAAAAAATGCTTATTGTAATGCAAGAACTGTGTGAAAAACAATGAAAGTGATTGAAAATTGTGTAAAAGAAGTGATTTTACGTGTCATCTCCAATTATTTTATTTGTATAATAATATGTAAAAAAACAGGCTTGTAAATGATGATTACATAAGCTATAGTTTTACATATTAAAAGTTGTGAAAAAAAAATCTAAATTTACAATTTAGCCACAGTTTTGTGCTTACTCTAAACATAATATGCAAAAAAATTTTATAATATATGTTGCATGCAATATATGACAAGGTTAGATTAAATATTTTGTAAAAAAAGTCCGTATAGCTGAAGTTTTGAAATATTAAGATAATGTGTGAATTCATCTTTTTAAAAAAATTGCTAACAATCAGTTTGCTTCACTTATCTAATATTTATAATTATAACAGTATGAAAAAAAGTATTCAATATGTATGTATTTATAATCATCAATATAATAATGGATATTGAATTAAAAAAAATTTAAAGTGAAGGCAAGCACTGAAAAAAGTACAATTATACAGTAAAAATCACATAAAAAAAGCAAAATATAAATTCAAAACTCTGATGTTTTGTTATTAGTAGAAAGTTATAATTTTGATGAAATTGTTTCCATTTTTTCTGGTATGAGGCAATCACGTACAAAATCATTCACAAGACCCAGGTACTCCTCAGGGTGCTCCTTAAAGTGGCTRACATGTGGTGAGTTTTCCCAGAATAAAAAAACAACATGTACTCCTCTCTTTCTCCKTGCATCTATGTAATCTGTGATGTCTTCATGCGGTGAGTAGAGATCAGCCTTAGAGTAAAGGACCAGCTGATTACAYGTCAATGAAGAAGCAAAAAAATCATCCATATAATGAGGCATTATAGAGCTTGAACGAACACCAACCTCAACCACAAAAAAAAATCCATACCAGACCAGTGTTTTTAAGATAGGATTACTCATATTATCTGTGATGCAAAAAAAAAGCCTTTGTTTACCACTGATGTCTAGTTTAAGGGGGCAGCTATCAAAAATTGTAAAAAAAACTTTAATTTTACCAAAGTATTSACTTTGTGGCATKGTTATAGCTTGCATCATGAAAAAAAACACAGCACCACCTCCTTGACTGAACGCATAAAAGATGACAGGTCTGTCATAGACATCCATGCCTTCAAGAACCTGCAAATACTTGAGCCCATTGTCCTTCACTTTRCTATCAAGAAAAAAAAATGTATCAAAAGCATTGGCTGTGACTCTAAACGTCCCATAGTTCTTTTGGGTAAAAAAAACACTATATTTCTCTAGGTGTCTATCTTGTGCACCATTCCATCCCAGAATAACAAAAAAAAAGCTCTTGTCTTGCTGGCTTGTAGCTGTTTCGGTCACTACGGCGCCGTGTTTCTTAAAAAAAAGAGCGGCAGCTCTCGATGTATGAAKGCTTTCTCTGGGCTGTAAAGACATCTTYAAAAAAATCGKTCTCTGCTTTCCATGAAGTACGTATGTAGAGAAATATCTTGAGGGAAATGAAAAAAATCTTTGGATCGCAAACATGTCGCCCTGCAGTACCTAGCAGGCGTTCCTCGGCATTCATTCTTGCCACAGGGAACCCAAGAGTACCCACATTGATACGACGCGTTATCTTTCAATCAAAAAAATAAATCATGTTTTACTAATTATGAAACGACGTTTTCAAAGATCCATAACATTGAAAAAAAAGTGGATGTCGTTTGAATCATCAACAGAAAGGATTTTTTGGACGATGTGGTCTGCAAAAAAAGCAAACGTATAATGACCAATAATCCTGGGCTYGGTTGTTATGTAAGAAGTAAACAAAAAAACTTACAACACTGTTGATTTCACATCAATCTACAATAAATAGATACTTGATTTGCAAAAAAATCCTTTCCTCTGCAGTCTATTTTCCTGAAACCATAGTGATGAAATTTAGCTTTTAAAAAAAACTTCTTAGAACAAGCTACATTGATTCCTCGAATTACAGTTGGCGCGCAAGTAAAAAAAAAATGCCAGTCATACAAGATAGGACCATTGACGGCATGTGGTTATGTTTACTAATTTTAAAGCGCGGGAAAAATGTAATATTGACAAGTGATTGACAGGGAAACATCGTGGTATCAGATGATATCCACCAATCACAACGTATCCTGCTACTGAAGACAAGTACGGACAAGTACAGAAAAAAAATCATTGAGCAGCAACCACACGTTAGGAGAATCTAAACCCAGATTATAATACTGAAAAAAAATTTAAAATCTCTTAAATGAAGCTAACAAAGAGACCTCGTCAAAGATATAAGAATAAAAGAATAAAATAAACGAAAATTCGTTTGAAGAAGTGCTTTTGTTTTTACATCTGAAGAAAAAAAAATACATGGTGTTAGATTTTTGATCACTCTGTATCTTCTCTCTAGTATTTTGTCGGCTCGATAGTGGTTAGCTTTGAGTTAAGTTAACCTTTGGTGTGTGTGAAAGTGCTTGCTTCTAAAAAAATTTGTGTGGAAAAGAAGACATGGGTTGACACAATGGAGAGCGYGGAAGCTGTTGAAAAAAAAAGATGTGGAAATTACGTATTGCTTTAGTTTTTKCGAGMAAGACTCCCATCTCAAAAAAAAACGCGTCGTACACGACCAAGATCGTCGTAAAAATCACGTAAAATGTGTAAAATATAAAATTAAAACTGCTTGATGTTTTATTGTATAGAATAATCCTTCATGTTTGTCGTAGGCCACAGTTTTGTAGAATATGGCTTCTTTTCTGRTGGTAGAAACGGTTTGTGCCTCGTGAAAAGCAGATCAGTTACGAGCTTATGTTTCTTGTAAAGCGTGGCTTTGTCATATTTGGCTTAGTAGTTGTTGACTTGAAAATCGAAAAAATCTCCTTCTACCTTGTCTACTTCTTAGGATATTTGAAAAAAAAATGATTTTTTGTAYTTTGAGCAAATTCTGCATTATTTCATGGTGGATTCTTACGTAAAAAAATTGTTTAGTGACAAACACATTTTAAACCCAAACGAAAACCATTGTTTTCTATTTAACACAAAATTTTTTTAAACGTTTTTAGGTTGATTTTCACTTATCTGTTATGATCAAGATCAAAAAAAAATAACTCCATGGGAGAAAGTTCTGCACAAATCTATATTTATCATATTTTTATGAAAAAAAAATTTATATTCTTTTCTTTTTCTTTTTTCTTTTCTTTTTTTTTTGACAGTTTGTAAAAAAATTTTCCTTTCAGTTCTGTATTTCAATTCATCAATCCCTTTTTTGTATCATCAGAAAAGATTTGATATCAGTGTCACCCTTCAATAATCTTGTGATGAATAAGATAGTCAACATATTTCCCACAAGGATTTTCAGAGATTTATATTTCTTTCCTTCAAGTTTGGGCGTGTTCTTTTTAAAAAAATCCTTTTTGGCCACTCCTAGGTCAAAAGATTTCTTGGAATCGAAATTCCCAGTAAAAAAAAATAGTTTAATTTATTATTCATAAGTTAGATATTCATGTTTCTGGCTATATTTAGAAAAAAACAATAATTTAACAAAATAGCAGAACACATTTACAGTATTACATATGTAAAATATAAAAAAATATATATCAAGTTCATTTATTTTGTTTTCATTTTTTTTTTTTTAATTTTGTATGAAAAAAATAGCTGTTTTTTATTCAGTAATGCTTGGATGATTTTTTTTATTACTTGAATGATAAAAAAATCTTTTGACACTGGAATTCACACATATAGGTAMATTTAGCCACTGCTATGTCAGAAATGTCCATGAAAAATTCTTGAAAAGCCCTAATATATTCTCAGTTTGATTGTGATCTTTAGTTTAGACACTACAATTTAGCTCATACATGTCCAGACTTGTTATGATAGGCCTAGACCTATGATAATATCAATAATGCAGTTCAAAAATATCTTTAAATCCAGACAACATAACACTTTTAATAAAAAAAGAGGTAGCTCATCAATAATGAAGCAAAATTTGAATTTTTATGTCTTACATAAGTAAAAAAAATTATCTGAATTCCTATATCACTGTATATTATAGATAGGTATTTAAGCTATGTTAAAAAAATGTTAAAGACAAGAGTATTCCCTAGGAAGAACTTTTATCTCTCTGTGTGCAAACAAAAAAAGGTTATCAGATTATTATTACATTGCATTTTGTTTGCTTTAATTAATGACCTCCGGTGCTTATAAAGTCCTCACAAAAGTGAGTTGTGTTTATTCTCTAATCAGTTTGGATATTTCTGGGATATGTACTTACTCAATTAAATATTTCTTTAACACTACATCTTTCAACATGTTGAAGGATAGCCATTATTCCTAAAATCCACTTTGTACATTTATTATGACTATGTATTCAAACTCTGAAAAAAACTTATTTTTATGAACTGTGCTATATTTACTTAAAATTGCTTTTTATGTTAATATTATGCATAGTGATTATTATTTTGAAATCAAAATCAATCTTGTTTGATGTCCTATAATATTGAAAAAAAAATTCTTTGCCCCTGTTGTAAAACACAATTTTAAAATCATGAAAATGACAAGGAAAAAAAACTATAGAGTGATAATCCAGCAGAAGATCAATAGTGCATTACGTGAACTACTTACAAAAAAATGCATGGATGTGATGTGTTCTAGCACAATTTTTTAAAGTCAGTCAGCTATATATAAAAAAATCATATTGTTTAGTCTTAAAATGTTTTTTGTAAATATACAAGATTTTAACTGTTCACTTTTGATTGATATTAGGCAGTGGATCATTTACTCAATGAGAAGTTTAGGTGAGTTTTTATTTTGTGATATGCTGTGGTATAAAACATAGAAACTCAGTATTATTATAATACACTTTGGTAAAAAAAATGATACTCCACACATTGCMATATTGCATACACTGCAATCTTTTATTATATAGCAAAAAAATTTTGAAAGTGGCTTGTTGAAGACTAGGTGTAGAGGCATATAGCCATAAAGACTAAAAAAAAGTCCTCTCTGGTATTTATTGTTATCCAAACTTAGATTTTTTTTACAATTTTTTAAAAAAAGTGACAATTCTGAAGCGGAACTAGGTAATCATTTTTTTTTTAATTGTCTTTATTAAAAAAAACGATTCTAAGCTCTACATTGATGTTTTTTTCAGGTTTTATAACAAGAAAGGAGAAAAAAAAAAGGAAACGAGGGAGTCAAACAGGTTAACCTTTTGCTCATTATAATWTTCRTCAAAAAAATAACATAAATGCCAACAATTTTTTTCWGYTCACATTCTGTATGCAATAWTGTTGAAAAAAACAAATATTTACACAAAAATCTCTGTTTTTTTGTTTGTTTTTCTGTTATTAAAGTGGTCTGTGATMACTTGATGCTACATGTATACCTCTATTATAGTTTATACATTTATAATTTCAAAAAAATTACTAGTATGGCTGTTTACAATTTTTTAGATGCGAGCTGTAGTAGTAGTGGTGAAAAAAATCCATTAAATCTACCGTATGGTCTTGGATACATTGGTATACCTGTAGAACGCGAAAAAAAAGATGAATGTAACTCMGATGGATCAAGGCCAAGGTCACTTAGCAGGTTACCAGGCAAAAAAAGTGCAACAACGGCTATAGTTACTGATTCGGAAGATGAAATTGACTTCCCTAATGAAAAAAAGAAAACTTATTGACTCCAAAGATGTGTCTTTATATTGTCAATGTTTTTAATGAGAAAAAAATAGATTGAGGTCAGTTGTATGACGGTTGAATAATGATACCCAGCAGGTTAAATTCATACAATATCTATGGACTGGATAAGAATTTATCAGTCTCAATGGTGTATTGATTGATTGAAAAAAAACCTTTATAATAGATGTGACAGATTTGGATACATTTTCTGTGGAGTATGAACCTCAAAAAAAAAATAGCGAAGATGAAAATGATGACGATGACAGTGATGATGGTAAGATTTAGTAAAAAAAAACATAAACTTCTATAAAAACATGCTTGCCACCTAAAGAATTTGATATACATATTAAAAAAATGCAATACAGTATATACTATCTGCATCTGCAACAATTATAGAGGCCTATATGTAAAAAAAAATTGCTTGTTCTAGAACAAGTAATCATCATTCCATCATCATCAGAAGATGAAGAAAAAAAAGCAGAGGCAGGAGATGAGTATGATGTAGATAGTGACAGTGATGATTCATGGGAAAAAAAAAAATGTTGGACAATTAACCACCCAATGACAACTAAGTGCCTGATGTGCTGGAAGGAAAAAAATTCATGGGGGCAATTAAAGCTCAATAGGTAAGCTTCTTGTTTATACCTCCTTACAAAAAAATTACTACCTCCTTACTACCTCCTTACTACCTCCTTACTACCATTCACAATGTAGAAAAAAAGGAGTGTTTTCTTATGTTTTGAAATATAGCACAATTAACAACAATTACATATCAAAAAAAAGCATGTTGTTGACTGCARTGTCAATCAACAATATCAAAGTTATAATTCACTGTTAAAAAAATTCTCGACAGTATATCTGGTAATCCTGTTGTTGAGCCAAGTAAGTTATTACATCAAAAAAAGAATGATCTTAGACCTGCAACAAGTATACTTCTTGAGAAAACAGCAGTGTCTCTAAAAAAATCATCAAGCAGCTGTAGCAGTAACCAAGCTTCAAGTGACAGTGGCATATGTGTGTCATCTTGTGAGACGGACACCCATGAAACTGTGTTACATGATGGATTGGTTTTGTCTTGTGCCTTCAGTACTTCACACAGACCCTCACTACATGAAGCAAAACCTTTATTACATGAAGAAAAAAAAAAATCAAATAYTTCAGGAACGTTTTTACAACCTGAGAAAACCAAAGTCACTCCAACTTTAGAAACAACTGAAGAAAGTCAACAAGTAAAAGAAGTGCWATCAACTTCGGAAAACASTTAAAAAAATTGTACTAAAAAGAACTTGGATGATAAAGACGTCAGCACAACCAATGACAAACAAAAAAAAAATACATTGYTATGCGTTATTTGCTCTACTGAGCCGCGGAATGCCAGTATCATCAAAAAAAGATCAGGACATCAAGTCTGCTGTATTACATGTGCTGAGAAACTTAAAGCTGATAGAAAGCGCTGCCCTGTGTGTCGCCGAAGGATCCATCTGGTTATCAAGAAYTTTCTTTAAAGAAAAAAAACTTGTAGTGTAGGTGTATTTTAAAGCAAAGTGTGCTAACGTCAGGTAGGATTATACATCTCTCAACTCTAAAGACAATGTTTTCTATTAATTCAACACATCTAGTAGTCCTATTTTTTCATTATTATATTTAAACATAAGTATTCTAGTATTATAGGAAATTCTCTCAATGCTTTAAAAAAAGTTTCTTGTGCAGGCTTCAAGAAGATTGAATCAGTTAATGCATTTCTTTCAATTCAAATTAAACTTACACAGAAATGTGTTAGCAGATTARGTCTATTGGTGAAACKTTTTCCTTAAAAAAAGAGCTGTAGYTTCCTTGGGCATCTGTTGTTTGTCTTCAGTTAGTACTGCAGCTTAAAAAAAGCAATTTCATCTTCTTATTTTACTGTTTTTGCTGTATATTGCTTGTTGTGCTTTAAAAAAAGCTTGTGCAGCATCTATTGTTATTAAGTTATTTGTGCTTACAGTGAATATATACAAAAAAAGAATACAAATAATAGTTAGAAAACAGTTTATATTCATACTAGAAACAATAATTTAAAAAAAGCCCCTACCCCTACAGTGAAAAGCTGCCAGGGTGGGGTAAGGAGTATTGAACCTAAAAAAAATACAGATGATATATTTTGTAGATTTATAATTTTTGAAGGTTTATCTCATGATAAAAAAAAATACTGGTATAGGATTGCCTATTCCATTACAACATTGTTACTATTGTAACATTGAAAAAAAGCGCATTTATTGGTTGTATGCGTGTGAAAAAACTTCTCTGAAGTTCAGCTATTATTGGGAGTGGGGTTCCTGTGGTAAAGTCGGTTAAGAAGAGGGGATGGATGGAGGATTCCCAAAAAAAACACCATTCTCGATCTTTATAAACACAGGAAGCCCAAATCCCAATGGTTGAAGTACATTTTATGAGTGTTCAGCTCAATTTCTTTGTTTATGTTAAATATTATTATTATTATTTTAAAAAAAATTAATATACAGTATGTAGCAGCATGTGAATTGATAAGGTCTAGTGTATAGAAATACTATGTAATGATCTATATATATATTTTGTATAATTACAAACATGTATAATGTACAACGTTATCATGTTAATAGTCTTCTTATAGAGCTCTTTTGCTTAGCTATCGAAGAGCAGTATCATTGTAAGGTTCATTAGTTTATGATTATTAGTCAGATATAATGAAAGCATGCCATGTCATTTATGAAAAAAAAGTATAGTCACTTTCAACCAGGGCCAGTTATTGTATGGTAATACCAGGCAGATCAAAAAAAGCTGGTAATGACATGTATTCTCATGCTATCATTCTCTTAACTCTTTTGGTGCCAAAAAAAATTCAAAATGTATTTCTCAGGGATATACAAGCTAAACAGGTTATAACTGGTTTCCAAAAAAATCTGGTGTCATTGAGAATGATTAATATTACATGTATTCAAACATGCCAGTGGCATCTAAAGAGTTCAGCTGAGCTGCAATGTGATTGGTTGATGATGGCTATTTTCCAGATTGTCAAAAAAAGAAGTRGTCTTAWAGTATATGGATCATTAATATAGAGTTATCAAAATGATGCTGAAAAAAACCTCCTCAGCCTCATTTTCATGCTTAATGGTCTGTATATTAAAGGCGGCTATTTAAAAAAATAATATTACAAACATCTAAGATATAATACAAGCCTTTATAAGGCCATACAGTAAAAAAAAAGTCAGCTGGGTCAATCTTATTGCATGTTATAGTATAATAATATACCCTTTCCTTAAAAAAAGTTGTTCAATTATATGAATAAATTTGCATCTTATTGGATGCCGAGAGCATCATAAAAAAAATCTGTATCCCAGTCAAATCTCATTTTTCATTTCATTCATTTATTATGGCGAGCCTTTCAAGTCATATATGATATCCAGGTATAAATATTTTCCTTTTAGCCTTTCATATTTTATGAAAAAAAATTGTGCATTGTTTATTTTGTGCATTTATTGTGTAATGTGTTATTGCTAGGTATGAGATAAACTGATTGATTTTATAACAAAATTGATTGTAATGATTTGAGGTTGAAGGAATAAATTTAATTGACAATCTTAATTGTGTGAATCTTTTATCATTTCTCTTGATGTAACGTTACCGAAAAAAATTTCTAAAAGAGTGTTAGATGCTTCCCAAACAAATTGACTCCTGATGAAAAAAAAAAAAAAAAATTAAAAATATATCTTATTGCTTGGTTGTAATGAACTCATGGAGATGTTTAGAAAAAAAGTAGATTTAAACTTAAAACAAGTTAAAAGGAAATCAAAATTAAGCTGGTAGTAGAAAAAAAGCGATCAAAGCACTGATTTGAACCCCKAAAAGACACGGGACTTGTAAGACAAACAAAAAAAGTTGTGGCTTTAGATGTTCATCAAAGGTGTCTGCTTTTTCGGTGTTTTCCCATCAAAAAAATTCGGTCAATCATGCTGATTTAACCACTTCTTATGGCAACCTTTTTGGGATAGCAAAAAAATAGCAGACACGTGGTGGGTGATATTTTGTATTGCTTGCGCTCGCTTTATAAATAAAAAAAACTCTAAAACTGTAAAACGTTTCGTATGGATTGAAAAACTGTATATTCATATACTAAAAAAAGACTTCTTGACATGACAATAGACGTTTTCAATAATGTACATAAATTTACAGTAAAAAAAAACACCTGCGTCGATCATAAATCATTGAAAGTGATAATGGATTGGAAATAGTGAAATAATTACCCCGATCTATTGAATTTATCACCCGGCTCGTGAAACCAGCGAATCAGGAACTTGTTCTTCACAAAACATACACTACAAAACACTCTTRCTGTGTGATCTTATCACATAATTTTTCAAAAAAAAAAACATTTTGAACGTCGYATTTGARAGTGTTTTGTGTCTGTGTGGGTTTTGATAAAAAAATACTTTTCAATTATTGAGTGGAACGGAATCATGGAAAAAACGAGTTCAAAATTCAAAAAAATCGCCAAGACGAAAATGATTGTTCGTAAAAAGGTGAACAAGAGATCTGCATCCCAAAAAAAAMTCGAWGAAATCGATGAGGATGATAAGGTAAGCCAAGTATATGACAGAGGAAAAAAAAAACAAATACTTATTTCAATCTGAGTTAAACCAGTATTACTGACAAAACGTGCTATAAAAAAAACGAAATTCATATATGATTTATTTAATATATAATCGGATGATTTTAGATGTGCATTATACTTTGAGTAGAATTAGAAACGTTGCTGACGAGATATATATGGTGTCGCGCATTTGTCAAAAAAATCATTGATCATGTCGAACTGAAATGGTTACCATACCAACTATAATATGGCGGTTAAAAAAATAATGAAATGCATAATGAACTTTTGTACAACCAGAGATTTATATAAACTGAGCTAAAAAAAACATAACAAACACTAGAGTTTTCTAATAGTATCTGAACATGTTTATCAAGAATTAAAAAAAGCTCATTAATAAAAAGAGATTTTTGTGTGTCAAAGAATTTGGAACTTATGCTCTTTTGAAAATCGACGAAATGTTTACTTTTCAAAATTTCCATTTATTAAAACAAGCGCAATCTAAAAAAACCGTTTTTGCTGACTAATAATCCCTTTTGACGCGTTGGTGCTGTATGGCTACAGAAAAAAAATATAACTGCGCCAACGTTTAAGAACTATTAATGGACTCTAGGCCTACAAGAAGAAAAAAAAAGACCTCAGTACACAAGAAACATACATCATCCAAATCTTTGACTAAAGTGGTGAAAAAAATTGGATAAAAAATAACTGAATGCTCGACCTTAGCGATACATGAACTCTTGTACAAAAAAAAGAAATTATTTTTGTTTTGTGACTGAATGAATCTGTGTTTTTTTAGTTCCTTTTTAAAAAAACTTTGTGAGACAATATGCGATTATGTTGATTGCTCTCAGCCAAGTGCGCGCGTTAAAAAAAGATTGATTTTTTGGACTTTGCTTTGCAACTGTTTGCTTGATGAGTATCGTACCTAAAAAAAACAAGTATACTAAGTCAATAGTAGAAACATGGTCTTTAAAAAGACTACTAATTGAAAAAAAGGTATAAACCATGCCCGGTACAGGACACAGGGAATCTATAAGTAAGTTCCATATAAAAAAATGGGCCAAAAGGGAGAAAGAAAACCTTCAAAAAGAATTTTTAGAGTGTCATTATAAAAAAAAAAATAAATATATTCTCGGAATCCGGCTTAGTAAACAGGATAAAACTTGACGGAAAAAAAATCGGGCATAATTTTGGAGGAAAACTGAAAGACAAGAAAAAGGCGCGGAAATCTGAAAAAAAGCAAGTCAAATATTGCCAAATATTAGAGAAGAAGCCAGAGTAAAAAGATACTAAAAAAAAACTATGCCTATAAAACGTTTTATGTCATGCACTCTGAAACTAGAAGACTAACGATAAAAAAACTCGTTTGTGCCTGGCTTACTACTAATACACAAAGAAAAAATAATCTGTTTCTCAAAAAAATAATTTCTAATTAAATTATTATGGTCGGAATTTTGTCAAAGAAAACTGTATGTTAAAAAAATTTCATGACAATGCCGTCTATTGTGACTTCGGTGGATGATCAAACACAAAAGAAAAAAAAACAATACAAAGAACATCATATTTATGGACTTAAAACTTCATCAGTTGATATTAACAAAAAAATTAGCTGCTCACTTACTTGCTGAGAATTGTTATTTTATTGACGGGTTTCGGAAAAAAAAAACAAAAACAGATTAGAAAAACAGAGTGGAAGRCAGTAATCTAGAATCGACGCTGTAAAAAAAGTTATTTCTGCCTAACTTTGAGTTCCGTGAATTTTGTGACTATGGCGTCAAGCAAAAAAAAAAGTTTAGTCGAAGGAATAAAACCGCGTTCGGAGAGAAGATCGTCTCTGTCGAAAAAAAAATCTAGCAGGTCCAGAAGAAAAAGTTCGTCAAATATAAGCTGCAAACAACCTGCAAAGGTATACACGGGCTCAAAGTACCGTAACCATTATTCATTATTGAATTTAATCGAAAAAAAAAAAAAGTATTAATAATTTATTATCAAAAAACTTTAATTTTGAATTAATTGAAAGAGACAAAAAAAATTTTAAACTAGAACTCAACTCTAACAACGCGCGCGATTCTTYATGTAATGCGCGGTCTTCCTGTGTCGCGTAACATAGCAACCATTTTTACAAAACTTGAAAGAGGAGAAAAATGAAAAAAATGAAGAAGACTCGATCTGGAATCCGAGTAAAGTCATCAGAAAGGCGAAAATCGGCTTCTAAAGGGGGAAGAGGAGTACGAGGGAGCTCACAAGATGTTAGTTGATTAGATGATATAATTTGAACCGTAATCAGATGTTTCTTTTGTTTTCTTTTTGTAGCAAAATTTTTTTCTCAGAAAAAAACTTAAGAATCATCTCAAATGCTGTCGAAGTTTTAAGTGTTTTCAACTTAAAAACAAAAAAATTTCAAAAAATTTTAATGTTAGTTTTTGTTTTTGCAGCAAGAAGAAGAAGTGAAAAAAAAATTGGCATTCAAAGTTCTCTCAGAAGACCAAACTCTTGCTTTGAAAGAGTTGACAAAAAAAAAACTAGAAGCGTGAGTATGCAGCTGTCCAGTACTCTTACAGTTTAGTTCCTTGCTGTTGTTTAAAGCTTTAAATAATTACATTATTGATTCTTGCTATCAAAATAATTACATGTAAAAAAACATTACTCGTATTATTTGCGAATATTTCTTACCTGTAATCTATTGTTTTTCAGAAAAAAAACAGAAATTCTAAACATCAATAACTTTCATATTTCACTCCCAGAAGCTTCTGTTTAAAAAAATTATGTAGCTGGATTTTGGTATCCTTTAGATTATTTACAGTGATCAGTGATTGTGACTTATTTATGTTATATTGTAAGTAAATAAGGATGGAAAGTTGTGATAGCAATGTTCCCTAAAAAAATCCTTAACAAGTTGTTCAGGTTTACAAAAGAACAAAATTTTAACTGTCAACAGTAAAAAAATTTTTTCACAGTTCTTAGAATGTTAATAGAGAATATTAAAGGTATACTATAACAAAAAAAAGTAATATGTAATTATAATCAAAAATTGTCTTTGGTATGTAAAAGAATTTAGAGAAAAAAAAGAACTATTTAAGGTGTCCAGGAGACAATTTCCAACATTATAATACACTATGATTAAAAAAAAAATGCTTATGACAAAGACTGACAGCTGATCAYACTTTTCAGTAAAGACCTTTTAAAAAAAAATATTGCTCATTTGCAGATAAACAAATGACGCTTGCTGAAAATTTTAATGCATAAAAAAAGTTACTTGCTGGAATTGGTGTTGACAATTSTTCATTGAGTGGTGGTCTTGAGTGAAAAAAAGTGAACCAAGCAAAAACAATTACAGATTACTTTACTGATGGGTAAGACTATAAGAAAAAAAAATATGCAGTAATATAACTCTATTGAAGTTCAATCTTTTGATTGCTCCATGATTAAAAAAAGGTTTACCACCCTCTTTCCCCTCTCTACCACAACAACCTGTTTGAAGATGGCCGAAAAAAACTTTTTTCAAAAGTTTTCAAGGTTGACAGGTATATTCAAAACAATAAGATTTTTAAAAAAAGTTGTTTCAACATTACAAGTTGTATGAGTATTTATTTGCTAAAGAAACAGAAGAAAAAAAAATAACGACAGAGGTATAGTATTCTATTTTCTTGTCAATACATGTTTTCTTAGGGAAAAAAATCATTTGTTTATTGTTTATGATATTAATTTAACAGCTTAAGATAGAGATTGCTCAAAAAAACGACATACCTTTCCCACCACCATTAGATGAAGGGATGACAGAGGAGGTCTGGAAAGAATATATCATGACACCTCCTTCTTCGCCGCAACCAGACGCAGGCGATGAGGTAATAACTCTCTCAATAAGGTGCAATATTTGGCTTTTTMTTCATGWTGATTGCTTATGGAAATGGAGCCAAAAAAACATGCTGGTTCATCCGTTRCTATAGCCTGTGTTGAGATGGTTAAATCTCCAAAGTCGGTTAAAAACATATGTGCACAAGCTTATGATATTGCTTCTATTAGCTCTTTTGAATTAAAAAAAAAGTGAGAATAATCATATTATAGTACAATATTATATTACAATAACTAAAAGTCAGTAAAAAAATTTRATAGGCAATGGAGAAAGACGAATCTGCAGGTTAGTTTTAGAATTAATCTTAAAAAAATATTTTTGATTCACTAGAATTTTTTAACTCTCATTTGTCTAAGTTATAGGTCTTAAAAAAAATTTATATCATTTTGTAGGGCAACAGCAAGCAACAGTAGAAGACAAAAAAGACCAAAAAAAGTCTATTGATCYGCATGTTATTAAAACTATTGTCAGAAAGACTGCTGATGATGTGTTTGGAAATTTCAAGGTAGGAATCAATATTTTCTGTAACAAATTCCAAGTTCACATTTATAAAAAAACAAATTTATATTACAGTGTAAAGTTYAATGACAGATTGAATTACAACAGGTTGCAAAAAAACCTACAGACAGCTGAAAGCTACTGTAATCATAGCAGGACAGTCGCTGTAGAAGTTTACTTTAGAGAGAAAAATGAGAAAACTTCAATATACCAAAGGAAATTTTTTTCTCTCCCTAAAAAAACTATCATTTTTTCATTATGCATTCATATATTTATTTGTTCATTTTGTTCATTGAAAAAAAAGTTTGAATCTATTGATTTATCTGTCTTTTTTTATTAATTTTATATTAAACATTTAAAAAAATAATTTTTTTATTCTAGGTTGAAGTTGAAGCAAAATTGAAAGAGAGAGAAAACAAAAAAAAATCAAAACTCGCAAAGAAATAAAAAAATAATATTGTACTTGTTGGAAATGTAGAAAAAAAAAAATATAAGAGTAGGGTTCTTCAAAATCTTGTAAATAAACATAAATAATTGTTTAAAAAAAAAACACTGCACTTTCCATAATTTCAATTTTTATTTTGTCTTTGTCATCTACTCAAAAAAAATCATACCCATAAAATCATACTCAGTAAGATTGATAGCCGAGCGAAAATTTCTGAAAAAAAACGCAAGAGAGCAGTGAGAGAGGACCAGAGAGAAATTTCAATGAGTTTATTTTGGAAAAAAAGTGCTAATTTACTGGCTGGGCTACTAAGCTACATATTTCGATTCGAACCAGATTAAAAAAATATCATGGAGTTCCGACAAGTTGATAAAACAAGACTTCTTCACGTTCTTTCTGAAAAAAAAGTGATTGGGGCTTGTCAATCCATTGGAATTTAATCTTCTAAGTATTTAGTGGAATATTTTCTGAATATCTAAGCTTCAGCTTTGGAAAACACAACAAGTCAGCTGTCAGTCAAAAAAAAAATCGGTGAATTTGAAAAACCRTACTTTTCAAAATGGGTAGAGAAAGAAGAGAAAATTTACAGAAATACTTCAAAGAATTTCAATGAAGATGAAATCAAAAATTCAATTGAACAATTTTCAACACATCAGAATCTGAATGCAAAATTGAAGCTTATTGTCCGTCACGCTATGCACCCGAAGTTTCGAGCTCATTTATGGATGGTTGGTAGTGGTGGGTCAAGTAGATATCGCGATAATTAAAAAAACTATCATGAAGATATTAAAAATTTAGGTAAGTTGTGGATTTCTTCATATTTTTTAAAAAAAATTAATTTCTTTTCATTTCTCATCCATTTCTTCATTTCTCGTTATAGCCATATGAAAAAAAGTTCTTGCTGCCTGTTTTAAACGGTTTCATTTCTTTACTGTATGAGGCTATATTAAAAAAACACCACATTTTGTTCATCTTTTGATTCCTATATTTCTCTCCCTTCTTAGCTAATAAAAAAAGCAGTTTTCTCTTTTTGTTTTTGATTTTATAGTGTTTTTTTGTCCTTTAGGTATAAAAAAACCCAGTCGTTTGCCAACCAATGTATTCAACAGGAAGCAATCAGAGACATTGTTTTATCTCCTTGGTCCTGATGGAGTGAGGGAGTGTTTGGATGTTCTGTATGTCATTTCACAAACTCATGCTGATATTCAGTTCTGTCCACTCCTCCCCTCTATAACTGCACTCTTTCTGCATTTAAAAAAAAAAGAACAAGCATATTGTTGTATATCTGAAATGCTGAACTCCAAGAAGTCATACAAAAAAATAGGCCAGGCMTCAATTGCTGTTTCTGCAAAGACATTTCAAGATTGTTTGAAAACATTTATGGTTAGTTAGTTAGATTCTAAGCGTACTTATTAGCTATTTATTGTTACATATCAAAAAAAATTTCAGAATTGTATATTGCTTGGACTAGTTTTTCTTTCTCAATATATTTATATCAAAAAAAAAAAAATCTTACAAGCATTTCAAGGTGATCACTGCTGCATCAAAGGATACCACTAAAAAAAGCAAAGTAGCAGTATTCTTTCCTCTCTGGGTTTCATTGGTTTTTTCACATCTGGAAAAAAAGACTCTAGTAAGTGTATCTCACTTTAACTTGGGATTCCTGTGATTCTTGGGATTAAAAAAACATGGCAAACATTAAAGAGAAGTGATGTGATATCTTTTGTTTTTTAAGGAAATCTAACGTGATTTGTGCTGTTAGGTCTATATTGTTGATAATTTCATCCTTCAAGGACCTAAAGTACTTGTTCGTGTTGGTCTAGTTTTGTTCAATCATTTTGATAAATGGTTGGTGAAGAATGAAGGTAATTGAAGTCATTTTCATTTTGAATCTCTTTCCCTTTATTTCATGTACCCATCCTTATTTTTCTCAATTTTCTCTTTTGCGCCCTTATTTTTTTAATTTCTTCACTGTGTATATTTTGACCTTCTTTCTTATGTAGTTGTAACTTTAAAGGATTTTGACGAGAAGTTTGCTCAGTTCATTTCTGAGCTACCTTTAAAAGGATACAAGCTAATGGAGGTGAACATGCTTACAAAAATATCTATTTGACAATCAGAGCAACCTGATATCATTATTAACATATATCTATAGACAAACTGATAGGAAAAAAATTTACCAGGCAGCTTTCAAAATCCGTGGTTTGTCCAGAAAAAAACTRGCTTCTTAAAAAAATCAAAATGTGGTGTTGTTGAGAGAAGGAGTTCTTGATGTACCATTTTTTCTCGAAAAAAAAAAGATACCAACACTTTATAGAATACAAGGGACTGACATTCTCAATGATGAACAGGTACAAAAACAGTTTGTATTTTATTTGAATTTCAGACAGAATAAGAATCAGACATGCAGTAAAAAAAAAATATTCAGTTACACCTTTCTCCCTTCTTATTGCTGCTGGCAATGAATACAATTACACTCTTGTTGTCTCTAGTGGGAAGTGCTTTCATCCTGGCTGCCTGAAAAACTCCAGATAAAAAAAACATATTGTTTATTTTCCACGCAGAATGATGGTTTCAGGTAATTCTAAATTTTTGAAAAAAATTTAAATGTGCAGTAACATTGACGTGTAAGTACTCTCTTACAATTTATTTTCTTAAAAAAAGCATTAAGACATTGTACAATAAGTGTGAAAAACAAGCAGAGTCAATTCTTTTAGAAAAAAAGTCAACAGGAGAGGTAAAATTATGTAGTCATGTTCTTTTGTAACATCCTAACCCAAAAAAATGACACTTCTAACAAAGAAACTGAGGGCTACAATTCTTTTAAAATTATTATCATAAAAAAAACATTTTTCTCCATGTAATAACAGCTTTTAATAAAAAAATTTTGTGCCACTTACAAAAAAAGCAAGTCTGGAAATCTCTCTATTCATCCTCTCTTGTACACCGAAATTTATAAAAAAAAAAATTGGTTTACTGGGTTTTTAACTGGTTCATGAAAATGTATTGCTAGTGGTCATTTAAAAAAAATGACCTCAAGCCAAAGTAAATAATGTTTCTTAAATGCTTACGTACAGATTGTTAAAAAAATTTGTACTGCTCCATGGGAAGAAAGACARGAAGGACCAAAGACTCTTTCATACTAAAAAAAAGGAGAGACATTTGTGTTTAGTCTTTACGAGAAAAAGCAAAAGTATTCATGGGAAAAAAAAGAGGATACTAGTGAAGGAAAGAATGATTTCTTTATGGCAGGTGACAAAACCTGTTTGATGGTTGGAGGAGGGTGAGTCTATGAGTCATTATAAACATACTAATGGTCTATCACTCATACTGCGCTGTGATTGGCTACTCTACTAATGGTCTAATTTGTGATAGRCCACTCGCGGGAAAAAAAAAATCAATAAATTATAAATTATTCAAGGATATTTCAATTTGTTTTCATTATTTGAAAAAAAAGTATGTTTATACTAAAACAATTAGACCTCTCAGCCTCGTGRACTACGAGCTAATAAAAAAATCGGCCTTRMGGACTYGGCCTCATGGGCTATTAGCTCGTAGTCAACTCRACCTCAAAAAAAAATTGTTAATTATTAATACTATACAACAAAAGCAACTTTATTATGTAATTTAATAAAAAAAACAATACTGTCAGTTGTCATAATTGATGACCCCTGAGAGTATTATAGAATAGAAAAAAAAAAATATTTCTCGTAAATGGTTTACATTTGAGAAACAAGAAAAATGTTCTCTGCAAAAAAAAATTTTTTAATTTAGCAAAATAAAAAGCTAATCCAGTATTAAAAAGTATTATAAAAAAAAAAACAACAGCAAAACAACTTACAGATGTTAGATAATTGTAATCTCTTTTAATTATTAAAAAAAAGATAATGCGCTGTGGTTGGATGGTGAGCTGTTACATGGTCACAGCGGAACAAGCAGGACATTCAAGAATGAGCCTCTCACAAGTAAAAAGGATTTTGAAATAGTGCGAGTTGAGGAAAAAAAATTTCAAGACTGTTAGTCTTTCAAAAAAATCATATGGTATCAAATATGATTCATTTGTAATATTTGATTTCATTTAGTTATCATTATTCAAATTTTTAGCTCATAGCAAAGTTTTAAAAAAATTTGACAGAAATATAATGATGATAATGGTGATCATAAACTATTATCATTGATTAAAAAAAATAGAAATATATAATTTGTAAAGATAATTATAGGTAATATATTTACAAGTGAATTAAAAAAAAGTAAATCAAGCACTAAAATTAAATTTTCATACTTTTTGCAATCTTTCTTTTGTAAGATTTTTTTTTTAATTTTTAGAATGCTTTGTTTTATAATGTTTATATCAAATATAAATTAAAAAAATATTCAAACATATTAAAATTATGAAATTATTATATGCATGACATTAAAAAAAATAAAAAAATACAATATAGTCTTAAGTTGTATGTTATTATTGTTTTATATGGGTTTCTTGTGGAAAAAAAAATAATGAACATTTATATCAAAACGGGATTTCTGTGTCAAAGGTTAACCGAGAAAAAAAAACCGATATTTGCATATATGGATACAGACCACGTGATTGTGTATTGTCCAATCATAAAAAAAAGCGCGTGAATTCGAACAATAAACAGTCGTTAACGCAAAATTCGTTATAAGTCGCAAAAAAAGCTGCATCGCGAAGTGTTTTTATACGCGCTTTTATTTTTTAACATTTTTAACCCCAAAAGTCCATTGGAATAAGAAAACTAAACACCTCTGGTGTTAAATCCGTGGATATGAGTGCTTTATTAGGCCGTATTATAGTAATCAAAAGAAATGGCTCCGATGGGGCACATTTTCCGCTAAAAAAACAAGAGTGTTTGTTTGGAAGGTAAGAAYCTTGATGCCATGCATTTTGATCAGTTAAAAAAATACTAGTTTATGAGATTTATGTCGAKATTTTGTGTTAAAAGYTTTGTATTTCTTAAAAAAACAGAAACAACGAGTGTGATATCCGTATCCAATTGCCAAACGTCTCGAAGGAACAAAAAAAAATTTCAGTTGACTCCGAAAAGAAGGTGAGCATGGCTCAGAGTCAAGAACTACGTAAAAAAAAGCGTTTCGATGCCAAGTTATAAATGCCTTTTTTATGTGTTAAGATTATCATTGAAAAAAAAGAGAAGGATTGGCATAATTTGACATTAGGACTCTTAAAACTTTTTAGAGAAAGAAAAAAATTAAAGTTTCTCAAGCAAGTGAAATCTACAACAAACAATAGACCTGAGCTTACTACAATTCGAACTTTGATAAACTAATGACATAACTCGTATACTCTTGATGTATTTCTCACATTCGTTGTACTTAGAAATTATTCATTTTAAGCTTATTGCACTATGCGAAGTTGGTTCTATTCTTGTTTTTATGTACTATTTTGTATAACATCTTTATTGTCTCAAGTAAGCTTAATAGCTGAACAGTCTTCACGAAAATCGTTAGACCAGGAGTTTTTACACAGTTTTGAGACTCATGATTGAATCAATATAGCAATTTGAGTTTAAAATTTTCATATAATTAATTTTTGCGATGTATTTTTGGTTTTGCCTCGACTTATTGATGTTTCTAGTGTATTTAAAAAAGGAAAAAAAGTTCAACTAGAATCATTGCACATCTATATTATCTTTTAGCAATGATGATAATATTTTATAGCTAGTACTGCACAAACACATCCAAAATATAATTGTTGACATGTATACTGTGTCTCAATTCCTCAGGTGTGGTTAGAGAACCTTAGTASTTGCCAGGATACTCTACTTAATGGTACTGCAGTTACTGGTCTAAAGGCAGTCTCACATTTGGATGTGTTTACTATAAGTGACAGGTCRTTTAGATTTGAGTTTCCTACGCCAAAGAAAACTACACCAAAGAAATCTCCCAAGGTAAGTCATYAGAATAAGACACAGTGATACTGCTGAAAGGACCACTTAAATAAAATTGTAGAATGCTAATAATTTATTCTAGCTAAATATTTTAAAATACAATTAGAAATTAACTGACAACATCTTGCATTATTGCACGTTTTATTTTGTGGGGCAGTGATTTAACACTGTTTTGACAGCATCAATCCATAGGGAGGTGSTGAAATTAACATTTAAATCAAATGAAATGATCTGTTTAGCCATCTTATTGTCTGCAATAGTCAGTAAAAGTGATGATTTTTAACATGGTTCAAGTGTTAATACTCCAGTTTAAAGATCTTATTTGTGCAGTTTTAACCTCGATAGCATGTAATATATTCTTTTATTCGGCAGAGAATCTATTATAATGCAAAAACTCTGTGTTAACAAAGAAGACAATAAACAGTTTATGCTTGATTGAAGCTAAGCTTGAACAAAAGAGAATTCGAAACTGCAGTATCCATACTGGAGTATTACATCAGTACTCTTCAGGGGTTGGGGGTGAAATGCGTTAGAGTGCCTTGAATACTGTGTTTTCTGATGCTGTGGTGAAACTTTGTCTTATAAGTTAAAATGTTTTTGAAATAAAAGTTTATGAATAATTATTCTCAGAGTCCAAAAAGAAGATCAAGTGAGGGATCTCTAGAAAGAAAGTCTTTGACACCAAGGGGTAGTCCCCGCATCCCTGTTCCCCCTCCAGACACCTTAAAAGAGAACATCCACCTTTTACGAAGGCAGTCTGTTCCACTTCAAGAAGTAGATRAAAGTTTGCTTTCTCCTTTGACGACCAAGTCTCCATTGTCRACATCTAGTGAAATGAACAGCATCAACAGTGAAATGAAGACTACCCCAACTGGAAAATCTCCTGGAAGAAGAAAGTCCATGTCAAGAAAGGCAAAGCGAGTTTCCTTTGGATCAATACTGAGTCCAGAACTTTTTGACAAGACCTTACCAGCTGCTACTCCTGTGAAGAGAGGTGCTACACCAAGAAGAATTTCCTCTGAATGCAAACCAATTTTGTCTGATATAAAGAAGAGACGATCTGTCGTAGTGTCACCATCTACCGATGCAATCTCAGAGGAAGATGAGATGGTAGAAAATCAAGRAAATAGTGATGTCAACAATGACAACTCAGAAAGTCTTCTTTGTATGTTACCTGATCCAGGAAATCAAAAAGATTCAGCTATGATTGTTGAACAGCTTCCCTCTCAAGTTCCAGACTTACCTGCTCAAGATGAAGAAAGTCCCAAAGCTGCACCATCTGTGACTCCAAGGCGCTCAAGTAGAAGGTTATCCACTCTAATGATGGAACAGATTAAAGTCTTGATAGATGAAAATAAAGTCAGTGTTGATACCACATCTGAAGATGAAGAATGCAGTGAAGACAAGAAAAGAAGACTTGCTACACCAGTGAGAAAGGCCATTGAAGCTGGTTTCCAACTTAAGGCCACCAAGAAAAAGCTTGCTACTCCACTACGTAAAGCCATTCAGTCGAAACCTGTCTTGAAAGAAACCAAAAAGAAAATTGCTACTCCACTCAGAAAGGAAATTCAACAAGGCATTGAACTTAAAGCTACTAAAAAGAAACTTGCTACTCCACTTCGTAAAGAAATTCAAGCAAAGCCAACCCTGAGGGAGACCAAAAAGAAATTGGCAACACCTATACGACAGGAGATCCAAAATGGTGTTGAACTTAAAGCTACCAAAAAGAAACTTGCTACACCACTGCGTAAAGAGATACAATCCAAGCCATCTTTGAGAGAAACCAAAAGGAAGCTAGCTACACCTCTACGTCAAGAAATTCAATCCAAKCCAGTTTTGAGAGAGACCAAGAAAAAGCTAAATACACCTYTGAGGAAAGAGATCCAAAGTAAACCAAACCTTCGCCAAACCAAGAAGGTAATGCCTACGGAGCTACAGGATRAAATCAARMTTGGTGTAAAGCTGCATCWAACCAAGAAGATTATGGCATATGACTTGCAAATCGACATTATCAAAGGCAAGAAATTGAGAGCAACAAAGAAAAAGATGGCAACGCCATTGAGGGAGGAGATCCAGAAAGGTGTTTCACTAAGAAAGACTAAGAAGAGCATGCCAACTCCTCTAAAGAAAGAAATTTCTAAAGGGGTAGAGTTGAACAAAACCAAGAAATCATTGCCTGCTGCAGTACAAGATGAAATCAAACACGGAAAAACTCTTAGACAAACYAAGAAAAAGATGCAGACACCACTAAAGCAGGAAATTGAGAAAGGCACAAAACTCAAAGAGACAAAGAAGAAGATGGTTACACCACTGAAAAGAGAAATCCAAGCAGGAACTGAATTGAAGAAAAACACAAGAAAGATTGAAACTCCAAAGCAGAATGAAAGCCAGCCTAAGCGAAGAAAATCRAGCCAAGGTGGCAGTTCTTCTGTAAAGAAACTAAAGACACCTATGCGTCAAGAAATTGAATCAGGTTTCAAATTGCGTCAGAGACGTCTAGCAACGCCACTCAGGAGAGACATCCACAGACGTCGTTCACTGAAACCTGTAAGAAGAAAGTCTACCAAGCTTGCCTCTGCTGAGGTGCAACCAAGGAGAAAACCCACATATGCTGAAATCCTAAAGAGACCCAAGAAAGTTGCAGTTAGAAGGCTTTCAAGTAAGCRAGTTCCTGTCACAAAGTTTGGTCCAACAGCTCTGCCTGGACAAGCTGCAAGGGTATGTTATTTACTAGATATCATTGAAATTTCTTATCAGTTATAAGACTTGTTCTTGGGAATCTTCTTGTTTAGTTTAATTTAAAATTTGAATATCACACATAAAGAATTAACCTCATGATCACTGCTTTAACATTGATTTAATATAACTGCTAATCATCAACACTTGTAAACATGCATTTATGCTAYGGTAACTGTTGATATTCTTCTAACCTTTTCATCTTTATATCAACAGCTTGCAACAACAACAGCTGTGAAGAAACCTGAAGTCAAGATACAAAGTATGTACATGCATTTGATTAATTTCACGATAATCAGGGTATTTTTATTTTTTACAATGTTTTTAAATGYCCCATGGGATTCAAATCTCCTCTCATCGTTCYCCCTTGGAAATCTACACGTCCAGTAGGTGCCATTTGATTCAGGAGCGTTTTTCAAAGTATCTAAGTTTCCAGTAAACACTTTTCTTCAGCAGGTCAAGCAGACACCAAGAMAACCCCAATTGTCAAGGAACAYGAGATCAAAAAYCTTGAAGGCATTGCTGAAATGTTTGTCACTCCTGTCACCACTCACACMAGAGTTACCAGAAGTGCCAGGAAATCTGGAAATTGGCTTGATACTATTGCCAAAACCTTGCCAGAGCAGACCAGGGTAGAAGTCCATGAACAGGACCTTGAAGGCGTTCCTGAAATGTTCGCAACTCCAGAGGAAGTCCCCAGAAAGAGGAGATCAATGAGACAAAGTAGTGGTAACTGGCTTGATGYCATCGCTAAGACGCTTCCTGATGTRAACACCAAAGAAATTGTCGAGGAAGACCTGGATGGGTTGAAAGAATTGTTTGCAACTCCCGAAGAGGCTGCGAAAAAGATAAAAACTGCGAGGAAAAAGTCTGGTAACTGGCTTGATGTCATTGCTAAGACCCTTGGCCAAGGAAAGTCCAAACGATCATCTGTAGACCTTGGAGGCCTTCAAGAACTATTCTCTACACCATCAGCAGCAAAAATGACCAGCCCAGTTGAAGAGAGAAACACTCCATYYCTGCGWGGTAAAGACTCGCAAATTTCAATCCACGTTGAATCGGCAAAGGTCACCAAAACACCAAGCCTACGTCAAGTGGCSATGGTGCGTAACAGTTGTAACATGAGTGGAACACCTAGAATGATTGAAGCAATTAAAGCATCAAAAACACCATCTTTGAGGTCAAGCAGGCGATCCGACGAAACATTTAATCTTGCCTTGATGTCAAGTCCTGTAAGGCAAGTACAAACTCCTTCGCTTCGCTCTAAAGACTCCCAGTTTCTTACAGTAGATGCATTGCAAGCTTCCAAAACACCTTCCCTTCGCAATTCCAAAGAGCCAGTTGAAATGTTTCAAGCCATTGAGCCTTCRAARACACCATCCCTTCGTAATGCYAAGGAGCCACTTGAAGTCTTCCAAGCCATTGAAATTTCAAAGACTCCATCACTGAGAACAGGCGATAACAAGACAGTCCGCACCAAAAAGAACAAAGAACGCAAGAGCATTAATTACACTGGTGTCAAACAACTCATGAAGACGCCAAAGATGAAAAATAACGACGATGAACCCGAGGATAATTTCGTGTCTTCATGGTTTTCTACACCAAACCTTCCATYCAAGTCTCCAAAGACTAGAAATGCYGTTGCGCAGGTTAGTGGAGACTTTGAGCTCGACATGATAAACATCGAGTCTAAAGCAACGAAATCCAGCAAGTCACCAAGGATAMGAAATGCCATTGCTGACATCGAAGAGAACTTCGTTCCTGGTCTCTTTGCTTCTCCTGTCCATGTTGAACGTTCCGCGAAGAASRCRAMRTYTTCCTCYAAGAAGGCGGCACCTAARCCTGTAGATGAAGTAAATGATAGCGCTGRGAACGAAGTCATCGMAGTCGAAGCCAACAAAATAGAAGTTGTTARTGCAGTGGAAGAAGTTGTCGCAGAAGAAAAGCCCCAAAGACGCACTACAAGATCAAAGAGAGCTGCACCAGAACTAGTTAAAGAACCAGCCAAGAAGAGAGCAAAGCGCGAAACCGCTCCAGTTGAACCAAAAAAGAACGGACGCAAAACTAGAAGTTCTGCTAAAACCACTAAGTCTTCAGCAAAGAAAGACTCAGTTGGTGTAGTTGAAACACCAAAACCAATGTCCTTCAAACGTACAGTACTRGATCCCATTCCAGAGCTACCGACTCCTTTAACAACACCTCGTGTAACAAGAACAAGAACAGTGTCGGTAATGTCACCAACTCTAGAAGCTATCCAGGAAAAACAGCAAGAGGCCATCGCCCAGGAAGAGCCAGTGACAAAGCAAACTCGCGGTAAAGGTAAAGMTCAACCTATAGAGAAGAAAGAAGAGCCCGCTACTCGTTCTTCGCGAAGAARAATRAAACCAGAGATTGTTGATAAGTCAGAAGAAGTCTTGGAATYAGTTCCTCGATCCACTCGTGGAACGCGCAGTCGAAAGAYAGTCGAAGAACCAGCCGAGGAGAAAGTCGAGAAACCTCTGCGTGCTACCAGAAAAACTAAAGGCAAAGCTCATGTTGTCGAAAATGCAAGTACAGACAACAAAACGTCTACTGAAGAAGCTGTAGAACCAACGAAAACTCGTGCGACACGCGGTAAAAAGCAAGTTGAAGAGCCTGTCAWSGAAGTRGAGATCACTCGTCGTGATACTAGAAAAACTAAAAGCAAAGCTGTTGTCGAAAAGTCCGCTGAACAAGTTGAAGAACCAACCACAACTCGTGCAAAAAGAACACGTGGAAAGAAGACAGTTGAACAACCTGCCGAAGAGAAAGACGAGTCGAGCTCACAGGAATCTGTTACCAAGGACACGAGAAGGACAAGAGCAACCAATGTTAATGAAAAAGAAATTGAAGTCGAGGAAGTAAAGCCTGAGAAAGTAACTCGTTCAAGAAACACTCGAAGTAAAAAAGTCGCCGTCGAGAAAGACGAAGAAGTAGACGTAATGCCACCAAAGAGATCAACTCGTGGAAAGAAGACCAAGACTGAGGAAGTTTTGCCCGAGGTAGAAGTTCAACCGAAGACTCGTTCAACACGCGGTGGCAAGAAACAAYCRAAACCTGTTATTGCTGAAGAAATCGTCATCCMRGAGACTGAACYATTAAAGAAACAAGGGACTAATAACAGCCGCTCAACACGCAGTCGCAAAGAACCMCAGAAACAARCAGAAGAAGTKGTTGAAAGGCGGTCTGGAAGGAAGCGTGTTGCTGAAGAACAACCARCAACGACACGTAGTGGCAAGAAGGCAAAAACCGACGTCGAGGTTGACGACAAGAATGAGKTTGAAGAAGTGAAACCCAAACGCAGCACACGCGCRACTAAAGCACCAAAAGAAGACATYAAACAACCAACAAGAGGAAGTAAACGTCAAGCTTCCAAGGTCGCTGTACCAACCCCCAAGAAGCAGCGTATGTCTACAAGATCAAGAAARTAAAAAACRWTGCAAAGTTTTTACTATTTTAGCTTGTTTTATAATTGGATTAAYTCYWCTYCAAGCGTTGTAAATAGTCGCACGCATTGTACTTTTTAATCCAATTTCAGTTCGTTTTATCAAGTAATTCTTACATCATCACGTGACAATGATCAGTTTGATCCAACAATAATCACATATCATAATGACAGACTTGCTACAATGCTTGTCTTGGGTGCCAATGCCCTCTGTAAATACATATATAATGGGCTAATAATTAAAACATCTTATCTATATTATCGTTGGTTATTCGTGTAGTTTTTCCTGTCGTCTCTCGCTTTGYCKGTCGTAACCAAGAAACGTGTACAATCTTTGCGCTTCGTTGTKCTTCCATCCTCGCCAGTCGTCTTTTATCATTCGACGAAGTGTTTCCTTAAAATGTTTAGGAAACRAATTTGAATTAAATTTTGTTGTTTCAAATCATGTKACTAAAATCCATACYAGAAAAACCTGGCTTCCGAGCTCCGGCACTGKAAAAAATCGCTCACTTAAAAGGTTGTAATTTGATWTAAATATTGAAATGTAGTATATTTATATACTTTATTGGCTCGTACCTTTAGTGTTGGATAGATCAATGTTATCTTCTGGTTATCGTTATTTTCACTGATAAGTACTAACAGCGTCGATACGATATTGTGTCTCTGAATTTGAAACAATCGATTACTATCGAAATCATCGACAGTTAATTATCACGATCGTTTGTTTCTTACCAAGTCTTCGTATCCAGGTTCTTTGTGATCATCAAGTAATTTACACAGTGATTCGACAACTCCTATAGTACTAAAAATAAAGTCTTAACTGAGTGACTTCTAATCACGTGGCAACGCAAAAGAATTTACAAAACATTCGTTGCTAATTATAGTTGTAAAAGTAGTGCTAATTTGTACTAAAAGTAGACCTGAAGCAATTTAATTTGTGTACCGAATGCACGATTTACTACCATATACAACTAAATAGCACTTTTTTTTGTACAGTTGCGCAGTTCAAGTGCGATCTCTCTACCTTGAGCGCAGACTCGCCTCTTTACTAGAGCAGCATATGTTCCCAATAGCTTGTACGGCGRCCTGTCGACATACAAATACAGCATTTCAAAGACAGTGAATAGGACTATTTGCTTGTGTACCTAGAGCGAGCCTTTGATAATCACGACACGAGAGGGAAATCCTAGCAGCGTTTTACTGCTAAAGTTCTTACCTTTGTCATTTCAATTGACATGGTAGGATTAGTAGCAATTCCGAGTAAATTAGACAAGTAATTCCCGGCAAACTTGGCGACCGGTGGTCCACCAGACCACGCCCAGTGTCCGATATCTTTAATAGCTGAAAAAAAGATTTAAAGTTCTGCAACATTTTAGGATTCGATGCTGTAGCGTTTTCAAGTTTTCGYGGTCTTTACCTTGAAGACGGCGTTCTGGGAATGGCGACGACGTCATGATCTTAACAGCAATAAAAATGTCTTTTTCGTACAGACTGTCACTCAGAAAGGCTGCCACATCTTCTTTCTCTGGTATTACTATGGTTTGGGTGAGAATATTCTCAGGTAGTTTAAGGCTTGGGTATTATGTTGACATGCGAAATTTTATATTCTTCGATAGCACAATAACCTTAATAAGTACAGAACCCAATTTCTGACACATGTTAAGGATCCTGGTACACAAGACTTTTATATGACAAATGAGCCATTTTGTTGGTCACGTGACTTTAAGGCATCAAAAACGGTTTTTCGAAAATGGGGAATATAGAGGCTTTATCGATTAAGTTCAAACATGCTTTGATATTAAGCTGATGTTGGTTCATATATGAAATAGTCTCGTTGTATTCGCTTATTATTAAAGACGATATTTACAAAAAATCAATATGCAAATTAGGTCACGTGACATTTATCTTTAATAACTCCTTTAATAATACATTTATTCAAAGAAAAAAGTCTAAATTGAAAAGCCTTCTTTAATAGAAACCAAACGAAATATAACACATCACAATCCGAAAAATATTTCCACTCCCCATTTTGAACCGAATATTTTTCAGTTAAAATTCAAATTAGCTAGTCACGTGATACTCCCCTTGAAGTAAAAACATATCAAAATTTTAGCATTCATGGCTA